AAAACAAATGAAGGATTGGATTTGGAACTTCAACTTGCATATATTTGAGAGTGTTCCTTTAGTCTCATCTCAATTTTTATTTTTTATTTTTTTTTGTGGAAACATACGAGTTTAGCCTTAAGAGATTCTTGTTAGTTTGCATTGATCTGGGAGGCCCCGACTTCCAATTGATTTTATTTAGATTTGGAAGAAGGGGTTGACCCTAGATCTCTTTTACAATAGCTAAAAATGAGCATCTTTTAGCAAATATTTTTGTTAACTCTGATTTTAAGCACTAGTTTGATAAAATCATAGAAAATTTCCTCTTTGTTTTGCTGTAACTCCATTAAAATAGACAATAACTTAGCTCAACTTCCATCTTCAAAGTTTTTGTATGATCGAATATAAAATAAATATCTAATTTGTTTTATATGCAATATACACTTTGTATGATTGACAATTACTAAATTTTGTTGATCATAATTTCTTAGAATATATTCTATTTACAATCAAAATTTAGCAAAGAAATTTAGTATATAGAAAATGTTATATCTTAAAAATAATATATTGAAGTACAAAACACGTGACACATTACTAGTTGTTGTAAAAGTTGGGAAGCGAGGAAAATAAGGTGTAAACAATTTCGATTGGATTTGACTCATATTATCTTTTATTGACACAAAGAACAAAGACTCATGGAAGCTTTTAATTATTGAACTCCATTATGTCATTTTGCATAAAGTTTCCCATGCAGCAGATCTTAATCCACCTGACAGCATTTTAATCACATTATTATGTCATTTTGCTTTAGTTTACGATGAGGATATTTTCCAGCAAGTACCTTAAAACTATTCTACCCCAAAGCCGACTGATTCCCCTTGATCACGTAATTGGGAGGGAAGAGGAAACATATCACATTAGAGGTGAACGATCAGACGGACAATGAAAAAAACTTGAACCTAAATTAAGGAATCAGGACGGTGCAATAAGATTGCATTAACGTTTGTACTTTTTCTAATCAGAGGCTGCTTTATGCCCCTTTTTTTTCCTGGAAAATGCTTAATGAAGTAAACATGTACTCATTTTACAAGGCACGAGTCTAGATAAAGATCTGCTGGTAAAGTAAACAGCTGAAAATCTGGCAAGATTAACTTCTTGGAAAAGTACTATAAATTGTGCTGATTTTCTGCAATGCAATTGTGCAAAGCACCTGCTCTTCTTCTTTTTCTTCCTTCAATCAAAGGAAAAGCACGTAGATAATGTGCCAACGGCAGTGAAGGAAGATCTTCTCTGGCAAACATCTCACAGATCATAGACGGTGAAGGAAAGCCATTTCCTCCAAATGCAGCATTCTGCGATTGAAGGTCTTTTCTGTGAAGCTTGCTAAGAGTCATATCAATAATCCCTTCCTTGCAGGAATGAAGCATTTCTAAAGCATCCAACAAAACCAATCGCTTGCCATTTTTCCCATCAAAAAATTTCTTGGCCATCTTCTCGACACAATTTTCCTTTATAACTTCAGCATCTTCACACATTACATTAGGATCCAGCAGTATAAGTTCCTCAAATGTCAGCATCTCCGAGCTAAGACTATCTTTGTCTGCACAGTTGACAGCATCAAGTGCTTTGATCGTGACATCCCTGATGCCTTCCACGAATTGGTGACAAGGCCATTCGTTTGAATGCTCGCACTTCTTGGAAATGGTCAGCAGGAACCTTAGACATTCGCAGAGAGCAGCTAATTCAGTACCGACTTCATGGAAAAAGATTATGGCGTCTTTGAGTAGACAACTAGCCTGAAGCAGAGCTCTTACCGCCTGACGAGAAGGTAGTAACGCCAAATTGTTGCGTAAACGTTCCCAGGCATTTCTTTTTTTGTAGAAGTCAGTTGAATCAAGAAATTTCTCCAGCTTATTCTCATTGAGATCAATCTGTTCTACTAATTCTGGCACTTCATTTGATAATTTTCCTCTGTAACAAGTAGCCATTGTATACTCAAGTTTCGCCCTTATGGTTCGTTGCCTAGGTCCTCGAACAAAATCTCCAACGGGCAGCGCAAGAGGTAGAATCTCTTCTGCTAATTGTTCCAGCAAAGCTGGGGCTCCTTCCATTTTCAGTAACATGATGATCTCACCAACTTTTTTAGTAAATAACTTGGCTTGCAATTTCTTTATATTCAGTATTTTCCGGAATATAAGAATCAATTGATGCATCTCGTTTACCAGACTAAAGATCCCACTGTCAACCGTCCTTCCTTCTGTCAATCCTACCCCATGTAACGAATACTAGATTTAACCTCCAAAAAAAAAAAATTCGCCTAAATGTTTCGAATTAAAGCTGTAACCAAGATGCCAAAAGCAGCTAGCATGAAGGAATTCCAAGTAAATCCAAGAAAAAAGAAAGAAAAATACTAACATACAGGAAAATTAAAAGTATGGAAACTGGGGTCGGCCATCATTGAAAAATGTGTAAGAGAAGCTACAACTTACCAGCAGCAGAGGAACGAAGGGCCTTCGGCTGAACGGAATCACGCTGCCTGGAAGATAGCCAGCCATGAGAATTTGTGGTCAACGAAGATGAAGCAGCCAAACCGCCCGAGTGCATCTTCTTTCATTTACCGCAACAGCGCGCAACGGATCCTCTGTACCACAACCCTGTCTCACACCCTATCCCACCCCTCATAAACTTGCCAAGTGTCCTTTTATTAACCCAATCCTGAAACAACCCAACTCGAACCATGTTTAATTATTTAACCGATTAATCGGGGTGAGAAACTTAATCACACAAAACCAAAATCCATTAAACTAAAAACCCAAAAAACAAAATTAAAGATTAAACAAGGCACAAAAAAAAACCCCACAAGGCCACGATTCTGGTTTCCCATCAGATTTCACTCCTCCTCAAAAGCTTCCGTCACAAAATTCACTCATCAGCTCATCAGAGATCACTCACAATTCAAATGCCTGGTGGCATGATTTCGGCTGATGATCATATGCTATGTCCTTCGTCACGAAGTCGAAGGAAATCTGATGGTGGAATCGTGCGCCGTGTGAAAGCACAAAAATCGCCGTTCTTGACCGAGACTCAGGTTGTGCTCCATCTCGGAACCTTGTGGGGTTAGGAGTAAAGCATCCCAAGGTTAGCGCATCTCTAATAGCGTGGAGAAACATTGGGAACCCCAATTTCGTGGTCATTCTCCGGAGCGCTTTCTTCAGGTTATGAGTGATCAATGGGCAATTGGACGAAGCTCCCCACCTGTTCGATCAAATGCCTAGGCGTCATGAATCATTTTTTTCGTAGGTTTTTCTTGCCTTTGTTTTCCCGCAGTTTTCTTTGCCCATTATTCTGTCATTCGGATTTATTGTGACTCCTTTCTGAAATCTGTTCTCAAATTATAGCTGTCATAGCCTTTAACTCTGATGGTTGGTTGATATTCACTTATATAATGATGTGCAGCAGATTAGTGAATTGAGTTGAATGATGAAGTTGATGATGTGGTCTACTTAGCTGATCTCTGTGTTGTTTCTATAATTCTTACATGTACTTAAGTGCGATCTGCTATGCCAAAGAGGTTTTAGAGGAAAACGGGACATGATTGTTATGGTGAGGACATGCTTTAGCCAAGGGAAACTGATATACCAGCTTTGTTTCTGGTCTTTGTTGTGCTTCCCCTGGTTACATATATCTTGCTAGGAAAATGGAGCGAGTCAACGAAAAAAAAAGAGAGGGTTAGTTTGCTTACTCAACAGGCAGCTGAAGAAAGTTAAGGTCTGAATTATAGGAGCAATTCTATTATCATTTAAACAGATAAAGCAAAAATATTAAATAGGAGTAATGCATCTGTTTGAAACATTTCAGCAAAGATTTTGTTTGCCAGTTCTTAAGCTGCTTGATTGATGAATCTAAATGGTGTATTCTGGGCCTAGTCATTCATGAAAGTTTATGGATAAATTTTTTTCTTTTATTTTACAGATGCTATTTCGGTATGAAGATTTTGTGAAGTCCTTTCACTATGAAGTTTTCAACATGTCTCCAAGAGGTCTTATAAATTGTGGAAACAGGTATTTCTTCAAAATTTTTCCTGCTTTTCTTGTGCTTTTACATATCAATAGCTCTAGAAAAATTTTATAGATATAGGAAATGTACAGACTCTTAATGCAATAATGTACTGAAACAAATTTCATAGGATTTTTTATTATTTGTCAAGTATATTCAAGATTTCTTTCATTTTACTGTGCAGTTGTTATGCCAATGCTGTATTGCAGTGTCTGACCACAAAGCCTCTCCTTCTGTTTCTGCTTCAGAGATTGCATTCTAGAGCTTGTTACGATTGGTTTGATTTACAATGTCTTGCTTTTGCATTCTAGAGACTTCCGAAGTAAATTCTGCTTCAGAGATTGCATTCTAGGGGTTCATGTTATTTCGATCCACTACTATTACTGAATAAGGGGTTGGCATGCTTCCCTTCAATGTTCGCGTGTTTTAAGCATATATTGTTGCAGTATCTTTGAGAGAGACTAGAGCTATGCAGACTCAAGTTAATTGTGTGTGAGATCGTTAGCCTTTTGCTTTGATTGTAAGATGATAAGTGAAATCCCAAATATCTGGGAAGGTGTTGTGGATATTCCCCTTGTCTGATTAAGTGCAGCTAAGATGTTATTTCGTGTCAAAGTTGAAAATTATTGGCTTTGGTCTCCATGGATTGCTTTTGTGGCTTTAAAACATAACGTTGTGGTTTGATTCCGCAATTCTAGTTCATTATGTCCTGCACGTCAATATAAATTTTGTATAGCAATTTTTTCATTCTAGTTCATTTTCTCTACGACTTTTAGCATTATTTGAATTTTGGCAGCATAATCATCAATTTCATTGTGCTCAAACCTCAGAAAGAGGAAAACAAAAAATGGAATGTGTATAAAAATCTATGATCCCTCTTCTACAAGGGAACAGAAAGAAAAGAGTGGATAGATTCCGAGGTGTATAAATGTATAACTTCACACCATCCAAGATTTTTGCCCTGATCATTCATGTTTAGCAACTTGTTGATCACTATCATCATTATTTCCCAGTTCTTGTGCCTACAAAAAACAAATGCTAAGTTAGCAAATGTATTGAATTATAAGTGTAACTTATCAAACTAATATATGCAGAAAACTCTTCACAGTGCATTATTCCTGATCCCATATACATATACCAACCCTAAATACATCAAATTTGGATGATCTGATTATGAAAAGCAGGAAAAGGTTATTGTCAGCTGTGATTAAAATATCACTATCATTGAGTTCACTATCACAAAAAAATTCATCCTTCATTGAGCTTCAACGTGCAAAAAGTGCATTATTCCTGATCCCATATAGATATACCGTATGCACAGAAAAAGGTTATTGTCAACAGTTTTTTCGTTCGGTAGATCAACTTGCACCAGATTATCAAAGTCATCTTTTACAGAATTGTTCACTCCACTTGACTTTTCTACATGTAAAATATAAAAACACCCCTACATTTCATTTTAATCATAGTTTGATAGCAAGGGAGTGATAGTGAACTCAATGAAGGATGAATATTTTTGTCTAGCTCAAATAATTAAAAATGTCAACGGAAGTGCCAATAATAACTCCTAATTTCATATCCAGAATAATAACTCCTGATTATGAATGATGAATATAAGATTAAGTAATTAATCAAGATTTTTTCTTACTTGGACAAAACTCATTGACGCTGCTGGTGTGCTATTGAACTTGAAGACATCAAGTCATAGCCTTGGTAGAAGTTAGGGTCCAACGTCTGCCCAAAAAATAAGAAATAGAAGACCACCCTTCATTATAAAAATAGCTATATACTTGTAAAAGTATAATACTATAAAAAATTAATATAAATAAGAAACAACACAAATTAAAAGCATAATATTTGCTTACTTGCAATAATTGTGTCATGTTTTTAGGATTTCGCCTATTGTAAATGTCTTCTATTGGAATTCCAAATTCCTGATATAATTAAAGAGAGACGACCACAAATTAAAAATTTCATTGAAAAAATATATCGTTAATGTAGTTTAGTCATCTAAAGAATAAATTATTCAAATAAAAATTTAAAATAAATTACATATCTACTATGCTATACAAGACAAAAATGACGAATAACTATACCTGCTGGGGTGGTAATTCTCGAACAAAACCTTGAATTGTAGCAGAATCCATACTTGAATGAACAACATTATTTCCAAATTCCTACAATCATTTTTATCCAAATTATAAATAAAGATCCTAATACTATTTCTATACTCATCATTCATCAGACAACTAAGGAACCCAAAAAAAAAGTAATAGTCAAACAATCAAAAACCATTATTCACATAAACTAAATAAATTGTCTAACCTGTAATTTTTTCGATGAAGACTTCTCTTTCACCTTGTACTTGCGTTTCTTAGTAGCCATTTCCAGTGCACTTCTTGGCCTCTTGCTCGACTTGTAGGTGACTTTTTCTTTCACTTTGATGCCTTTTATTTTATTATAGGCAACTTCAGATGGATTAGTGTCAACATCTTGATACGCACTACAATTTTCTTCAATACGCACTTCTTTCATTTTCTTTTTCCCTTGACAACATGCATCCATTTGTTCTGACATTTTCCAAAATCCATCTTTAGCAATTTGATAAGCTTCATCACATTCAGAAGCTTTTGTCATCAGCTGCATATATAGATAGGATAACTCTTTGTAACGAAAACTTAATTTTGCCTTTAACTCCATTTCCGGGCTACTTTCACTGGAAACATGCACATTTCCTGTTTTGGCTGCTTTTGTCCATCTCTTCAATATATATGCATCCGGAATTGTTACAATATTCAGAGTCATCAATATTTTTAGTGCATGTGAACACAAAAATCCAGCAAATTCAAATTTCTTACAACTACAACAAATTGAATTCGTGGATGAATCATAAGTTACAAGATGGTGGGAAGTCTTACCATGTGGTGTAACTCTGTAAATCATTTGATTTCCTAATTCACCATCAACTTCCCACTTACAATCAATCCCTTTGCATAGCTCCTCCTTAAATTTTTCATACACTTCATGTGTATATACACTTGCTGCATGCTGTAAAATCCTACAAGGAAATGTCATTGCCGGTGTACTTTGATTGCCTTTAAAATTTGCTACGGATTCATCATAGCGACGATCATCTAACAGCCTTTGGAAGTGTTCAAAAAATTCAAGTAAGCCATGTTTATAACTTACATACTTCTTTATCACACTGTTCATGGACTCACTTCGTTGGGTTGTGGTCATATCAGCACAGAAGGTTGTGGTCATATCATTCGATGTCAAATCAATGGTTGATCATAATAGCAGATAATCCATGTGATACATTTTAAACTTCCCCTGCATGCAACTATGGACTAACACAAATTCTGGACATCAGACTTGAAACTTTGCGCACATCAGGTTAGCTTCATCCATTTCCTTTTACAAACGAACTTCGACCAGGTTTTACATCAATGCGGCTTTGCATTAGTACAAGACAAGAATGTTGCAGTAGCCAGCAAGAATCTTGAAATAGAATTAGGAATCAGGGCAGCCTGCAATTGCATCTTATTACTCCTTATTCAGAAGTTGTGATCAAGGTAAGTTTGCATTCACTATAATACTTTTCCTGAACACACCATAGCTGCATGTTTTTTTTTTTTTTTTACGTGGAAAATACATCGTGAATGAGAACATGTTCCCAGGCATGAATCTTCACAAAAGGTCTGCTAATAAATCAAGAACCTACAGGGCCACAAGATTTGAAAGTCAGGCAGAATTAACTTCTTGCAGATTACAAAGCTACGTTGATGTTCCATTGTTCTGTAATGCAATTTGCCCATTCATTTCTGCGGGCGACTTCGTGTGACTAAAGGTGATAGTGTCTGGTATGGCAATTGGCAATCTACTTGCTTCTCTTCTTACGAGAACACTTTCTTCTTCTCTTTCTTCCTTTCGATAAAGGAAAATAACGAGGACAATATGTCATAGGCTGTGAAATGCTAAACGAAGCATTCCGCGATTGAAGATCTTCTCTACCAAGTTGCTCACAGATCATATCAATCTCTCCCGTGAAGGAATGAAGCTTTTCTAACGTCTCCAACAAAACTAAGGGCATGCCATTCTTCCCATCAAAAAACTTCTTGGCCATCTCGTCAGTGGAATTTTTCTTGGCATTTCTTGATCTCGTAGAATAACCTACTAATTCATGTACAAGTTGATAAAAACATGTGAGGAGACAATCTTCCTTTGGACAGTCTACAGCGTCGAGTGCTTTATTCACAACTTCCTTGATTCATCTGGACACTCACTTTGCAAAGCTCCAAAGAACCTAAGTAAGAACTGAAGATACAGGCAGAGTACAGATGATTCAGTACCTACCTACCTCATGGAAAAAGTTTGTGGCATCCTCGAATTCTTGACTAGCCTCTAAGTAGAGCTCTTACTGCCTCACGAGCAGGTAGGAATGATAAATTGTTGCATAAATCTTCCCAGGAGTTGTACAAGTCATTTTCATCAAGAAATTTCTCCGGCTTATTCTCAATTAAACCAATCTGTTCTACTATTTCTGACACTTCTCTTGACAATTTTCATCACCTAATCAAATGTTAGTTGATGTGTTTTGGTTGCTCATATGCAAAGTTGACTGCGAAACGTAAAAGGGAATGGAAGGAGTACAAGCAGTTTATACGATACACTGAACATTGTAATAGGATCTGAAACCGCAATGCCTCTGCTCGCTTTTCTGGGACTGACCTCGTGGAATGAAAATTGACAACAGAAATAAGTAATGCTTAACCCATTTTAACCTGTTTCTCGAAATCAAACAGCTTTAAATAGTGTATATTGCTGACACAAAAGATCAAGAGACAGAGGACGTGATATTAAACGAACATATTAACTTTTTATTGTAAAACCTGTAAAAGATTAAAAGATATCCTGCATCGGAACAAGCAATTTTGCGAACTTTGAGAGAGTTTGACGAATTTTTGTTTACATGCACTAGATGATTACTTCAAACGCATCAAGATAAGTAATAAAACAAGTAAAAATTGATATCAGTTCACTTGGGAGGTACCACAAGAACTAAAGGATTGTGTTTATTCAATGTCAAAAATATAAGCATTCCTAGCCAAATGGGATTCATTTGATTCTTGTCCATTCATATTCAACAAGACCTATTAGAAGCTTCCTGCTCAATCGTTAGCTAGGACTAGGAGAAAATCTCAGATCAATTTCAAGATAAAATGAACGAGGTACATGCCAAGACCTTGAAACGCTTTCATCATATGGCGTAGGGGCTGGCCTTCAACTCTCTTATGCAACATTTACGAAAAGTCTCAGCAAGATGGATGACAAGAAGCAATTCCATGTCAGTTGGGAAATCGAAATTGCAAGCTGCAGCTCAAAGCTTCCCTTTTATGCAGAGTGCTGAAATCTGTGACACGATTTTGGAGGCATCACAGATACATGCAATCCATACAATGTCAGGAAATGCAAGTGCAGGAATGGTGCGTCAATATAAACTTCATAAACTGCAAGTTTCAAGGACATCAACATAAAAGTACTGAAACAGGCATCAAGGAAACGTAGAATGGGAGGACCAACTTGTCAAATGCTAACTAAGACAAAAGCCATGAGTATGCATTTGGCAGTCACAGCGCATTTGTCACATGAGAGCGAAGTCTTACAAATGGTTATTTGGAAAGAAATTTGGAAACGAAGAAGTTGATAAACATTGGATATTTAAGAAAGAAAGAGGAATTGAAAGCACACCTTATGCGGAGTCCGGGTTACTGACACAAAAAGGGGAATAAAAATAAGTAGCTTCCTAGACAGAAAAGAGCAGAATACCATTAGCAATAGTAGGCGCAGGAAAAGACATTATTAAAATCTCAGACATATACCATTTGAATCAAAGTTCTTCCGTCTTAAGTTCAAACTATCAGGTGCAAGTAAAAGATCACAAGTCAAGAATCATACAAGGAGAATGTTTAACATACCGATCACTTCTGATAATAACATCAATGCCTTCAATCTCTTCTTGAATTTCTTTAGCAGAATTCTCAATAGGTTCACTACAATAGTGGACCTCAAGCCGCTGCAGGTTCTCAACACCAAAAGGGAACTTCTCCAAGAGCTTGCAAGATTTCAGAACAAGATGTTGAAGGCACCTAAAGTGGCGAAATATTGTTGCTTCCCAATGGATCAAATCCATGTTTTCAATTAGCAAATGCTTTAGACTACGAAAACCTTCTTCAGTTGGCCCCCATTTTGGTCCTTGGAAAGCATAATTTTTGAGTTGAAGTACCTCAAGGTTGGGTAACATGGCAATGGAGGTCATATATTTCCATGGTAAATAACTCCAACTCAAACTCAAATGCCTAAGAGTCACTGGCAAAAGAGCCAAACCCAAAATCCTTCGCACTTCTCTTTTTTGTGTGTGGAAGGAACACTCCAGAGTTTCAAGTTCTTGCAAGTAAACAAGATTATTTAGGACTTGTGAGAAACTGTCTGTGCTGTAGTCTTCTCTAGTTTCACAAATTCCCAGTTTCTTAAGATGGGGCATGACACTGAAAACTTCCTTTGTGCAACTTGAAAATTGTATTGTATAGAGAGTTTGCAGGTGTTCTGAAGCAAATGGACGAGGAAGGTTATCTTGTACAGTGAAAGGATTCTTTAGATGACAAGCCACAGTAACATGCACATGCCTCAGTGAAGGCATGCTCCAATACTCCAGTAACAATGTTGGCCTACCGCCAGATTCCTGACAAAGCCATGGACCATGAATGACTAAGGTCTGGAGATTCCTCAGTTGGGATACTGAGGCAGGAAGCTCATAAGTAACATAGAGTGCAAGATACCTCAAATGTATCAGCTTTAATATTTGAACAGGGAAGTAATCGAAATGCAGAAAGAATACGTCTAATACTCTGAGCAACTTAAAGCCTAGTTGAAAGAATAGAATATCAGGTACTATATCAGTGCCCAATGTGAAACACACAAAAGATGAGACATGTGGGATTGCAGGTGCTGTAGTCGCATGACTGTAAGGATCCAAATGAAAACTGAGACGACGTTGATTACGCGTGCCTGCTTGAACACCTTTGGCACTTCTCCTTTGTATGACATGCATGAAGTTCTCCTTCTGAGCTTCTTTCAAGCACAATTCCCGTAAGAAGTCATGGAGGCGACAAGTTTTGACTTCCCCCACAAAGCGCTTCTTTTCAACCAAAACTAAGTTCCTGCCGATAAGGTCTTCCAAGTAATCCTCTCCAATCTGTTCCAACTGTTTCTCTGAATTCAAATATAAGAAGCCCTCTGCAGCCCATAAATTAATCAATTTTGAAACTTCAATCTCACAATCTTCAGGGAAAATCCCCATATAGAGGAAGCAGGCTTTCAGGTGATGGGGCAAGCAATTGTAACTCAAAGCAAGTATATCTAAGCAATTTTCTGGATCAGTGGAAACAACTGAGCTAACCTCCTCTGCAATCTCATTCCAACAATTGTATGCCCCGATGTCACGTGAGAGAACACCAGCAATAACGACAATAGCTAGAGGTAATCCTCGGCATCTCTTAGCTATTTGTTTTCCAACTCCTACCAATTCATGGGGGCAGCTTGCTGTCCCGAAGATGAGCTTTTCCAATAGTTCCCAGCTTTGTTCTATGTTCAGAAGGTTCATGCAATGAGGTGGCTTCTTGGGACTCACGTTTGTTGCTAACTCCTTGAACCGACTAGTAACTACTATTCGACTTCCATTTTCGTCATCAGGAAAACACCTTTTGACATCATTCCAAGCATCAATGCTCCACATGTCATCCATAACAATCACATACCTCTTACCTTTCAACCTTCTGTACACAATTTCAGCTAATTGAGCATTGCTCTTCTCAACCATTTTATCAGTGGACTGTGCAATAGAGCTCCAAAGGGCTAGTAGCAAGTCTCTCGCTTGATAGACTTGGGATACTGTTATCCATGCACGACAATAGAAGTGATAAACAGTATAAGGATCATTAAAAGCTTTTCTAGCAAGAGTTGTCTTACCAATGCCGCCCATCCCAGAAATTGTCACTATTTCTAGTCCAAGTGGCAGTCCAGTGAGCCCCTCCAAGATAGTCGTCAGCTCAGCATCAAGACCTACCACAATATCCTCCTTATTCGAACTAAGTGGTGCTTTCCTGATGCTTGATCCCTGCAATCTTAGACTCTTTTCATCTATATTTGTAGTCTTTCTCTTGAAAGATTGAACAACCTGTAATGCATGGACTAAACCTCCACGAATGCCCTCCTTTCCATCTAAGACACTCTGGACCACTGTTTCAAGAGAACTTTTCCCCCTTCTTGGTAGGAATCTAGCTGATGCCTTACTATTGGACAAAGCGCAAATGAGGGACGTCTTTACTGATTCGACTTGTTTGTCCACGAGACGTTCTTCAACAAGATCTCTTGCTCTATAAGCAACGTCTTTGATGCATTTCAGCAATTCATGATCCTGGAATTTATCGGAAGAATCATCAAGAAAATTCAGCAAGGAGAAAAGATCCTGGTAGAGAATTGTGATCTCAGAAGCAACTTCATAGAAAAAGATTATGGCCTGTTTGAGCTCATCCACGGCACGAAGCATTTTTCTTGCTGCTTCACAAGAAAATTGATGAACAGCGTAGTCGGATCGATCTGTCCGGGTGTCGAGGACAGTGGTTTCCAGAAATTTCTTCAGGTCTTGCTCCAAAGATCCAATTTCCATCAGAATTGGAGGCTTTTTCTCCTGCAATTTTGGTATTCCGCAGCTCAAGGACAGTGTTCGTTTCTTGATCTCCAAGAAGTCAGCATGCCGACCAACTGCTCGAAGAAATTCTTCAAAGCTGCATAACAGAGTTCCTGTTTCACGAGAAGTTTGATCAACAACGTAGTTGGATCGATCTGTCCGGTTGTCGAGGACAGTGGTTTCCACAAATTTCTTCAGGGCTTGCTCCGAAGATCCGATTTCCGTCAGAATTGGTGGCTTTTCCTCCAGCAAGTTTAGTATTCCCCAGCTCAAGGACACTGTTCTTTTCTTGATCCCCAAGAACTCAGCAGGCAGACCAACTGCCCCAAGAAATTCTTCAAAGCTGGATGGCAGAGTTCCAGGTTCTTCAGTGATCC